CCCTGCATTTCCCCCCCCCCCCCCCCCCCCCCAATTTATTTATTTTTAACAATGTTGGGTTGACCTTCCCTCATTGTTCTTTAGAGAAATTGTGCCTCATTTTTTGAATACTCATCTTTTGGGGTTCTTCCCATGGCTGAGAGGCTGCTGTAGAGATCCTCTTCCTTATCCCCTCAATACACTGTACCAAGTGAAAACACCTCCCAGTGCATAAAAATCATCCTAAAAATTGTGCCTCACTTCAGGAGGGCAACTAACTTTAAAATGCATGTATCCAGGTGGAAGGAAGGCTTGTGAGCACAGGTGAGGCTCTTGCCAAAGCCAACAAGTAACAAGGGACATCAAGCACTGACCCACCTTTACCAGCAGACGGATAATGTTGTGTTTCAACCCACAGTCAACGGCTACAACTTTAATTGGATTCCCTCTGCCATAAATCTTGACTTCCTACAAAAAGACAGACCATGTTGTAAATGACAGATCATGTCCTCAAAACACAGAGAAGATGGGCAGCAGAATAACTTTCCACCAATGTACAGCAACTGGTACTTAATTTATGTGGAAATCTCCAGGAATACTGCAGATATTAGTGCTTCCTTTATCTTTCTGTGAAAGTAGAAGTTACAATGCTGTTTTATATACTGTTGATTACAGTGATACCTTAGGTTTTAGGGGGTTTTGTTCTGTTTTGGTGTGGAGCTTTTAGCTTTATATCAAGTGTTACTAGGATCTTTCCACAGGGTGGTGAAGACAAAACAATTCTATTCTAGCTGGAGACTCAAGGAAAATCTCTTCAAACTTCAGGCCCAAAGCTTAAGCAACGTGAAAAGAGGAGGGTGGGCAAGCAAGCAAGGAGGATACAACTTCATAATTTGAAGCTATTAATTGGACAGTTAATTCCTATATGCAAATGGACTAAAACTTATAAAAATGTGAGATCTCATGACCAAGCCCTCTTTTGCTTCCATTTGGGAGCTATCCAGGCAGAGTGTGCCAGGGTGTGGCCTTTGAAGGCAATTCAATAAAAATCCACTTTATTCCTCTTAACTCTGTCTAGCCTCTGTTCCAGCTCCTTGAGGCATCAACAGCAATAATGCAATTCCCAAGCAATCACTCATTTCCATAGCTCATGACAAGCTTTTTTGCTGTGTGTCACCTCATTAGCAGTGAGGCAAAAAGGCAGTTCTCACAGCTTACTGCAGCCCAAGAGAAATAGGCCAGACACCCAGTGAGAGATTCTCAGCTGAAGTGCAGTCATCCTACTGATGCCACTGGAGCAAAGCTACAGATCCATCACATGAAACACCACACCAGCCCTCCAGTCCCAGTCAGACCAAAGCCCAGCACAGCTGGGGACAGCTGTGAGTTGTCACCGTGATATTTTCTGAAAAATCCTCTTTGCCCAGGATACTTTTCCTGGGAAGCTGAGAAGCCTGAGAGGAAAATGAAAACAATAATTATCTCATTTTGCTGCTCCTGTGTTTTGCTGCTTTGGAATGTGGTCTGGAGATTGTTTATCCAACAGGTGTTATTTCATTGGTTTCATGTGAATTGTTTTTACTTAATGACCAATCACGGTCCTGCCATGTCGGACTCTGAGGAGTCAGTCATGATTTTTCTTTATCATTCTTGTTAAGCCTTCGGTCTATATCTTTTCTCTAATTCTTTAATATAGTTTAGTATCGTATTCTTTGATATTATATAATATCATAAAATGATAAATTAGCCTTCTAAGAACATGGAGTCAGATTCAATCATTCCTCCTTCGTCCCGGGGACCCCAGAAACTACCACAGTGAGTGGCCTTCTGTGCACAATGGCACTACAGACCAGGCCAGGCCTGTCACCATGAGTGTTTGTAAGGACCTGGCAGTTTTATCTCACCACTTCTCCTCTTCCAGCTGCTGTTCCTTAACCCACTGCACAAAATAAATTGCCACCAGTCCCAAATCTGGACCGTCATGCTTTGTGCACCCAGTTATCTACTGGTCACAGCCAGAATGGGAGAAAGTGAAGTCAAACCAATGTAAGTTATGTGGCCTTGGTACTGTGCCATTGTCAGACAGCTCTAGCACTAATGTAGAGTTATTTATGGATAGCTTCTTTCTGAAGCTTGTTGAATTATTTTACTTGCTACGTGACTGGAGGTAGCAGTTATTGATGTTATTCATCAATAAGCACATAAGGCTGCCTCCTTCCTCATAAAAACAAACTCTGTGCTTACCTTCAGTTACACTCAGCTTCTGAAAGCTGATATTGACAAATGTATTTTGCCCAAAGTGGCTTCTCTTGGGCATCATGGAAAAAACAAGTTGTTTTCCCCCTCTTTTACACTAAGTACTTCCCTTTTAATCAGCTTCCCTGGTATCTGTATTTCACATCTGAACCTCCTTATGAAAAGATTCTAAAATCCGTGTCCAATACGGCTGATGAAGGGTGATAAACTGAATTTTTTAAAAGGAGAAATATGGCCAGCCAGAAGGAAAGACATCCCCTCAGCAGATAATTCAAGATGAAGTTTGTTAGCAGAATATTGCAACTCTTCCCCATGTGTTACCCTAACTCAGTTCTTGTCTGAACTTTTATCTTTGCAGAGATTGAAATGCAGAGGTTTCTAGTGATGCCTTAGGATTCAGCTTTTATATTTTTCAGATCCTGTACTGCTTTAGTGTATAACTCTAAAACTCCATAGCCTGTCAGCTACTGTTCTCCTGTTTTATTCAGACAAAACAATTCCTCTCTAGGACTGTAACTCAAGGACACCTTACTGCCTCAGGCCCTGAAAAGCACAAATAAAAGTGAGTTGTGGGGGAGCAAACTGGGGGTAAATTACTTCATTACCTGAAGCTGTAATTGGAGGATTACCCCCTGATATGCAAATGGACCAAACTAATATCTGTATGAAAAACTCATGACCACAAGGCTTCAAAGCTGCCACACATGAATCCCCAGTAATCCCTACTCCATTCCTGAGGATGTGACTCAGTCTGAGCCAGCAGTGTTAATACAGAATGGAGGATTTTGTATGGGAACACACCTTGTGGCTCACATTACATAATCAGATGGCAAAGTATCCTGCAATCCTTTTACAGAATGAGTAGAACCTGGGTCCTGTTAGATCACTTCAGGCTTCTGCTAGGAAGCCATGCCTGACAACATCAATGGTACCTTCACAGTTACTGATACACAGGTGGGTTCAAGTTCCAGCAGCCCATAGTGGAACTGTATCACTGCACAGGGATTTTATGGGTCCTCTACCTGCTGTCCTTCAAGCTTCTGCATGGTGGGGTTCAAAAATCCCAAGAACATTAAGGTGTTCAAGTCTCAAAGAAACTAGTTTAGTGTCCTGTGTCAGAGACCCCTAAGAAAAACTCACTGTCCTTTTCAAAAGGGGCTTTTGAAGATCCCTCAATTTCTCACAATACCCATACTTCAAAAAATAACGAAATATCATGAAGCAAAGACCTCCTTCAAAGGTTCTCTTTAGCAGTTCTCATGAACAGAGGGAGTTGTGGGGCAATGCTACTTCAAGTACTTTAATTGACTTTACTTTCAAAATTCCTTCTGCTCAAATTAATTAGCTGTGATATGTTACAACATTTCCTTCAGCAGCAAGATTGATTTTAGACGTTGCTATCTCCACAATCCACTTGTCACACTCTGTCCTGCAAAGACCTGACCTCTCCCCTGCATCTGGCTAAGAAACTAGACTGGGAGCTGGATCAGGGAGCTGTTAAAACACATTCTTTCCAAAGCCAGAGAATTTCTCTTCCCTGTTCACAGCACAGCCCATAAAAAATTGTTCCAGTCTGAAAGGATTATGTGGGAGGGCTGCAAACCAGTGGTTAAGGAGAGTAAAAGCTCCTACTGGTACTAGTGCTGAGAACAAAAGCAGTGCATGGACCTGCATGTGTGGAGAGATGCGACCTTTTAGCTTGGACTGGTTACCTATCTCTCATCTGCTCTGTTACCCTGATGATCACTTGCACCAAAAAAAGTCTCCAACAAGAGTGCTTGCAGAACAGTGGCAGCTTTCCACCCTCCTTGCCCTGGGTAGACAATGTTAGCAAGCACAGTCTATATCACTAGCATTTAATCAAGGTGGCGGGGCGGGGCAGGATATAATAAGAAAATCAATCACTCCTAGTGTACCATAGATAAACAGATTCCAGATCATACTGTATGCTGATTTCCATGAAAATCACCATTTGGCAGCAGATGAATTATCATGTCCAGTACTTACCAACATTAAACAGCTTACCTCATTTACAGCTTTATATGTGAAGTTGTTTGTTAAGCCTATAAAATGAAGTTATAACAAGACCACCAAAGTGCTCTTAATCTTATTGTATCTCCCTTTAAGAAGCTATTTTTCAGCATCTTTACAGTAATTCTGTCTTAGTAATTGCAGAGTTTAGCATCAGCAATTTTACCTGTTTCTGAGATACTGACACAAAATGGCTCCACCTACACCTTGCAATCCTAGATCACAACCTTAGTAAGCAATTGCCACCCTTCTGTGTAGCACCAAGGCCCTGACTCAAAACACAGTGGAGGTGCTGGCATGAGCTGGGGAGATTCCCAAGGTGAGATGTGCAAGGCAGCCTTTGTATTTCAGTGGCATCCCAGGGTGCCAGTTACTACTGTAGATCCAAGCCTGGATGGAGAGTGCTTCAAACTCCCCCTTGCCCACTGACCATTCTGTTCAGGACTGCTTCTTACCCAACCATGAACACACTGGCTTGTGTGCAGAACAGTACACAAGCAACTATTTGCAGAGCTCTTCCAGAGCCTCACTGATATAGAAGGAACTGCAAACACCATAGCAAGCATGGAATTTGCAAAAGGGACTCATACACTCAGTTCTCACTTCTTAATGGGATTAAGCATCCAGGGCATTCCTTATCCCCCAGTTAAATCCCCAAAGGGGCCACAATTTAAGACATTGGGACTTGCATTGGTACAAGAATAGTTACTCTTTTTTAATATGGGCCTGGTTTCCTACGTCCCTGTCACAGCACGTGTCACAGTTGAAACAACCACAATACACAGAGTATCTCCACACAATTTCAGAAGGCTTCAACACCTCACCACTTCAGAAGGCTGCAAGCATCTGCCCTTCTTGTTCTTCAGCCCAGCCTTTTATCCCCTCCTGTTGATGCCCTGCCCCTGTGTGCCCTCTGCTCCCTTTGGTGGTTGCTCAGTGCCCCGGGCACTCCATGGCTCGTTACCTTCAATGTCATTCACCTGTCCTGCACAGCTGTAGCTCATTGGGGATGAGGCTCAGCCCCACTCCCAGTCACCACAAACTGTGTGCCTGCACATCCCCATGATTTCTAACATTCTTCTCAGCTTGCAGTTGAACACAGTCTGCATGCCCAGCTACCAAAGTAAAAACTTCACTGCAGTCTGCAGATCCATGGGCACAGCAGCTAATTCCAGTAATATTAGATATAGGGTATGCCTAATGTGGTCCAGTTTTGACATCTAGAAATCTCTTCTGGAATCACCCTAACAAAATTACACCTCAACACAAATTATCAAATGGTATTGTGATGTTTCCTAAAATATTTTTAAGGAAAGCAACCATTCTTTTTATTAATTCTTTTTATGTTTGAAAAAATCCACTATATACCAGGTCTAACTGTATCCCCAATATTTCTCTGTCTTTATAACACACAATCCTCTGATCAGAGTGTGGTTCAGACCACATTCAGCTCAACACAAACCATTTTTTATCTCCAACACTACACCTAAGGAGCCACAGAGATATTGAGAAAACAGTCCATCAAAGGTCTAGAACAGTGCATGGTTTAAAAAACGTCTCCAAATTGTTTAGAAAAACTGGTTGATCCCCAGAGCAAATGAGGAGCAGTTACTACCTGGAGTGTACAGCCCTAATACTGTGGAAGAATTGCTCACCTTTGTTGAAACTTCTGCAATTAAGTTTTGCTTATTTGGGTCTACAAACTCCACAGGTTGACCTTCAAATTCAATCTTCCCAAGTACTGTGCCCTGTGGAAATACACCAGAAAAAAATAAAGCATGAGCAAAGCTGTGAACACTGGGACGAGGTGTTGACAGGCCCAGCAACCAGAACAGCTGTTTACATATGGGGTTTCGGCAGTTTATACCCATTTTTAGCATTTTCAGAAGTTTATGAGCCTTCCTTGGTATAAAAAAAATCTGTTTAAACCCCTTCCTTCAGGGGAGAGACATTATCAGCAGTAATATTTGTTAATAGGCAGTCTGGCAAGCTGTGTTGTGACATGAAATTGAGTTGTGTTTCAAGAAGATCGGAATTCAGATCCCCTCATAACTGTCATGTAGATCTGGGAGTTACCCACAAAGCAGTTGGAAGATTTTTTAGTTTTGGAAACCCACTGTGAGGTTTTCAGCTGCCTCCTGTGGACAGCTACAAGGCAGCAGAACTGGTGTAAGGCAAAGCTATGTAGGAGGCAGGTCAGCCCAGCTGTTTTCTGAGTAAGCTGTTAAAAATAAAAATCAACTCTAGCAAGCTCTACTCTGTGTTACCACCTGGCAGAAGCTAGGACACTCTTGTTCTGCCAGCAGCATATCCTTCTTCTCATTGAAGTTCTCAGTGGAAAAAGAATCCCTGCTTTGGCTTTGCCCCACTCCTGAACTAAGTGGGATTAATCTAGGGTTAACCTCTTCTCAACATGGGAACAAAGTGTCCATTACAGAACTTTTCAAGGATGGAAGGGGAAAGTAAAACAGAGAAGGTCAATGTTTTGTGGTAAATTTATCACATCCCACTTGCATGATCAAACATGTTAAACTCAGCTTGCTCTGTGGATATTACACCAGTATTCACACTGGGATTGCTCCTTGCATTTAGTGATTCTCCTTTCAGATACTTCCCTGGCTTGCCATATCTGAAGTATCCTTGCCATTTCTCTAGGGCAAGCAACAGCCAATATCTTGCACTGCCATGCACACTAATAAAGGCAAGTTTTAAGGAAAGAGTTTTGCCCCTGACAGTGGCTGACATCCTCTGTCTTCTTTCTTACACCAAAAGCTGCTCCAAGCTGCTTTACATGAATCATCATCTTCAGCAAGTCCTGTTCTTGGAAATGAGGGTCCTGAGTGGTGCTTGAGAGCCATGGTTCTGAGTGCCACCATGCAGTGAGTTCCATAAATGCTGATGACAAAGCTCTTAAAGCCTTTGTTCTCAGCAAAATAGTGCCCTGCATTTACTTTCAGTCCACTTTAACAAGTCATTGCTTATTCCTGCATTTATCATAAGGAGGCCCTGTTCTCACTCCCAGTTTTTATAGAGATAGAGTGAAATACTAAGTAGGATTTTTTTCAACCTGAGAGAACTGGGGGAAGAAGTGACATTATGCACTTTTATAAAAGCCATACACCAATACCACTCAAAGTCATGGTATAATGGGACTCACTACCATACACTGCTAAGTTACAGGACAAATATTCAAAATATTAACTTTGGATAAAAGGAATGGTGATCTACATTGTCTTAAGAAAGCAGAAAATATATTGCCATTTTCTATTGTATTAAATTCTACTTGTGTGCTATCTGTAAGATCAGGACAATGCCAAATCTTCCTAATAGAATTCATTTCTACATATATTCTTTTATTCAAGCTGGGCCATTCCTGTTTTGTTCTGTGGAATGAAAGGGGGCATAGGGTTGGGTTGCAGACTGAAAATTGATCACCTAGAGAAAAGAGCAGCTTCAAATAACCCATTAGAAAATAAGAGCCTCCAAGGCAAATTTACATTCAGACTGCCTTTGATCACCATTTCAGCCAGTGTGAAGTGTACTTTCACATTAACCTTCACTCCATAACATAATCCTACCCGTGACCTTCAATTGTCAGCTCTTAGAAAACAGAGAAAAGTAATGACTATTGAAAATAATAGCAGGCTTCAGCCAAAGAAAACCAAGTTAGGAATACATATTGAATTACTGTAGGCATTCCTCTGTCTCAGAGGGGCAGGACAACTTCCACTGACCAAAGGTGCCACTGTCTGTGAACGAATATCCACAATACCTCACAGACTTGTGGCTCTCTTTGACTGTTCCTGAGTTGTGTTTGATACTACCACCTCTTAGGTCTGACACTACCTGAGGCCTTTCATTTACACCATCTTGTGCTGGATCACTTGTGCAGGACAGGAAGCCCAGAGCAGAGCCAGGGAGAGGGGGCTCCTTGGGATCAGAGCATTGCCCAGCAGCACTGAAGCCATTGGAAGAGCACATGGATCTGAGCAGCATCTGAAGTCAAAGCAGCCCAGCAGTACCATTTTTACTCTATGTTTGGAAAGGACCCAGCATTAGCAAGGTTAATGCAACTGGATCAAGGGAAGCAGATCATACCTTGTCACGAATTACTTTGGACAACATTCTGGTATCAATCCCATACAGTGCAGGCACCTGAAGAAAACCCAAGGAAAAGTTAGAGAGCAAGCAGCTAAAAAAATGGAAAGAAGACAGCAGCCAGATCACTTTTATGAGAACATGTCACAGAATCATAGAACAGTGGTTTGGCAGACACCTTAATGCTCATCTCTTTACCACCCCCTGCCATGGGCAGGGACACCTTCCACTAGACCAGGCTGCTCACAGCCCCATCCAGCCTGGCCTTGTGTTAGGAGCTCAGGCTCTCAGCAGCAGTCTTACCAAAGCTGCCTCACTGCAGCTCTTCACTTCTTCTCCCTATTCCCTCTCATAAATAGCTGAGATGTTCAAATCTAGCTTCTGCTCCAAAAAGCACAAAATAAAGAGCTCATCTTTCCATCCAGGTCAGTTCTCATCATGCTGTTACATCTAGATTGCTCACCTGTTCTTCTTGCAACCACTCTCCCAGGCTCCTAGTAGCTTGCCAGTGGCTGTACTCATTGCTGTAATCCTGCACCAGTAAACCTGAAACCTGTAGAGACAAGAATCATCATTTTGCACTGCAGGTTCACCTTTGTACTTACCCCGTACCTTCAGTTTGCACTATTCATTCACCAAAAACTTCAGGTTAGCTCATGACTGTATCTGGGCATTTTGACCAGGAAATCCATAGAAGAATGTGCCTTGGTAACCAAAGTTGCAAATTGCACTGAGCTGACAAAACACTTCTTGTCAAAAGAAAGAAGATGGAAATTTAAGACAAGACAAAATGGTTTATTTTTATTTTTTTTAATAAGAAAACTTTTCACTTTTAAGTAACCTTTCATTTCAAAAGTCAGCTCCATTTTCTAATGGAGTTAGTGTATAAAACAGTTATTTCACCTCAGAACAGATACTTCCAGAAGGCACATGGCTTAGTACAGATATCAAGATGGAGTATTTTTTGCCACCACTCCTCCACAGGACAATATCCAGAAGGAGAAAAAGAAAGGTTGAATATCACTAATTTCTTCTATGAGGGAGCCAGTCAACTCTTAAACACTTAGGCTGCTGGGCACAAGCCTTTGATCAGCACTGCTTCTCTCCCACTATTACCTTGATCCCATCAGACTCCAGAAATCTCCTGAGGCCCATTTCATCCAAAGCAGCCGTGTCAGGCACTCCACCATTCCCAACTATGGGGTTAGCCAAGGTAAGAATCTGTCCTTTGTAGCTGGGATCTGTCAAGGCTTCAGTGCATCTAGGTGAAGAAACAGTAGAAGAAAAGTACATTGGTCTGAAGTCAAAAGGAACACAAAAGAACCACTGAAAACAAGACAGGTCTGAATTCCCATATGACAAAAAGACAGAAATGGTATTAATGTGAAGATATTCCCAGAATAAAAGCAAACACATCTGTGAATATGCTCTGACTTTGCCATTTGTGGTTAAACATTTGACATGGAGAACAAGGAAAGACTTCGGCTTCTCACGTATCATTTAAGGAAAGCAAGAAGCTATCAACAAACTCAGAGTCCTTTGATTTAACATGAGAAACAAGTACAGGAAGGGCAGGGAGATCTCAGTCCTGCACAGAGCATCACTGATAACAGCTTGGCCTGGCCTTTCCCTGGGCAGTGCTTTGCCCTACCTGTGCTGAAAGAGCTTTCCCCTCTCAGTGGCAGCAGAAGGCTCCAACTGAAAAGCCAGCAGACAACAGAGCTGTTTGCCCAGGCTTTGTCCCTTCCACACTCTGGAGCTTGTCTTTTTGGGATGTTCAGGATTATAACTGCTCTTTTTGTGGAGAAGGACATAGACAAGTCCTTGGGATTCCTCATCACTACTCTGGGTCCTTCTCTGCCACCTGCTCTGTCACCAACCCTGCCATGGTCCCACTTCTGTAGCTTCTCCCAGCAGAGGCCTGGCATCTCTTCTAGCAATCTCCATGTTCCCAGCCACAGAACACCATTCACTTCACCTGAACAGATTCCTAAGTGCTTGGAAGCTGGGTTGTGTATCCCTGAAGAAGGCAAGTTGAAGACAGTGCTTAGGGATTCAGCACTGCACCCCTGCTCACACGGCCCCAGAGCATGTCCTATCATTAGCGCAAGCAGAAGCCTGGCAGTTTGTTAAGCACCTGCCTGAATGCCCTTCTCAGCAAGGACAGATCTAAAAGCTGGATCTAAAACAGTGGAACATTCTTCTGCAGCAGAGGACCAAACCTAGGATTCCACAAAGTATCATCATCTCTGCACCTAGTAGATCCAGTCCCACTTTCAACCACATATAGAGGGATAGGGTAAATGTTGGTCTATACGCTCCTGTTCTTCAGCTCCAAATTAACAGACTCTCCCTCACTTTCTCCCTTCTTCTGTAGCATACTGTTGCAAATATCCCTTAAACAATTATTGTCTTTCAACCCAAAACCAGCTGCAATTTAGCAACAGATGAAGTTATCCCCACAAATATTGAGCCAAATGCATAAAGACACTTCAGGATGAATCTGCCCCATACACAATATAATAAATTATTGTCATTATTGTTTAAACAATACTAATTGGTAACTCCAGCCATCTACCAGATATCAGCAAGGCACAAGAGACATTTTTATGGAACACCAGACTTACTGCCAGAAGATTAATTGTCAAACATTGAGAAACTCGTCACAAAAGCAGGACTGGCTGCTGGCAGATATAGACAGCACAGCACACCAGCCAGCTCTGAGAAATGACAGGTTGAATAAACAATGGCCAGGAAATATTTTCAGGTAAGCCTCTCCTGATATTCAAATCTATATTTGCAGCTGCAGGTAATCAACCACACAAAGTGCAGTGTGATCCCAAAAGTGCAGTAGGTACCAGGCACATGGCACGTGCATGCTGGGCATTGTTCTCTCCTTCCAAGCTAATTGGTTATACCTCCAAAAGACTACTTGTTACTGACAAAGCTAATGTCATTAACCTTTGTACGTCATTTGTGATCAGCAAACAAGGACAGAGGGCCCTTGGTCTGGGTGGGGTGTGCAGGCAGAGCTCAGACAATGCCCTTTAAGCAGGAACAATGCTGTGTGGAGCACAGAGGGGCAGATGGAAACACCAGCTCCAAATGTGCTGCAAGGTCCAATCCTTGCTGTGCCTGCCCAAAGGTCTGCCTGATTTCAGTAAACTCCTGTCAACCCATTCTCTCACTAGAATATCATGGAAAACACACATTGATTAGAGATAAACACCTTTACAGAGCCATTTCAGACATGGGACATTTTATGGGTTGTAACTCTTCTTTCTTAATTGCAAATCTCATCTTTTTGCTCCTATGCCAAACATAAGACTGCAACAGTAGGTTTTGGGTTTTTTCAGCAAATGCTTCTGAAAAGTTCATCCTCTTGCTTTTCTATCAAAAATTCAACATTTCACCCCTAAGAGTGCTCTTGGCCTTCTAGTCCAGAGTAATATGTCAACATTTCATCAAGCTTCAGCTACTTCAGGCCTGAGAGCTGTATGCACATAAAGGGCTTTGCCTCCTATTTTTATAACATGAATCAGAATGTGTGGGTCCACGTGAGGAGACAGGGTGCAGAGCAGCCTATTAATCACCCCAGACAGAGCCCATGCTGACCCCACTCAGCACCCAGAAACACCCACTTCACAGAAAGCAGGTCTGAGGCTTATCAGCACCCCTGCACTCACCTCTAGCTCCCTATCGTGACAAACTGCTGCATGCCCCAGCAGCCTGGGCACCTCCTTCACCCTGGCACAGCCTTTTCCTGTGTCAGGGAGAAAGGACAGCTGGGTTCCTCTGGATACACAGATCTGTGAGCAGGAGCAGGAGGTACAGCTACAGGGTTCCTTTCAATGGACAGCAACCCCTGGACTGGTAGGGGAATCTACCACCTTTATGTTCTGGAACCATGCTGCAAACTCCTGCCTTCCATTTTTCTGAATCAATCAAGGTCATGTTCTGTATAAGGGGCTCTGAAGATTCTACCTTACATTTTGAATGTTTTCTCCATGCCCATATGCTGCCCAGCACAGAAGAGATCCCTGTCACAGCATCCTCTCCAAATGATTAGACAATGAACAAACACAACTTCTACTGCCACAGTAACATGTGGAGAGGAAATTAATCCTTCAGGTCCTCCTTGAGTTTTGTGATGTGCCAAGATTTATGGCCCATAATCTATCAATGAGAAGAGAACTCTGGTGCCCTCCATCATTCTGATCTATATTAAACAGTGGCTTGTTGGCAGGTATATTAACACAGCCAGTAATTAGTGCTGTCAAAATGCTTAAATAATTGTCTCCTAACGCAAAACTCTGCAAACTGATTCCCCTCTGCAGCAATTTAACATTCTCACCAATGGTATTATTTTAAAACTCAACCTGTGAGTACTGAGATCTCCAAAGGAGAGCATAATTTGGGGAACACAAAGCAGATGAGGTAAGACAGCTATGAATGACTGCAGAAGAAGCTCAAGCATCAACAACTTCAGAGATGTCTTAAATCCCCAAGAACATGTCCCTGTCCTTACCAAAAGCCCCATTCCTCTGGCCAGATTCCCTCTGCTTAAGCAGTCCAACAAAAGCACTGGCAGAATTTGGCTGCCAACCCAAGTCAGCCATAGGCTTCTACCACTCAAGAGGACAGAAAATCATGCTAGGTGAGGCATGAATCTGATCCTGCCCTTCAGCTGGAAAGGCACAGAATGCAAAAGCATCCTTACCTGTGGTATGAGCCAACAAATTAGATAAGAGATGGGTCATAAAGGTGACCAACCTGGGGCTTAAAAATTTTGCACTCAGAAGCCAAGTTCCATTACCAAGAAGGCTGCAGATGCTTCAAATCTCTACAGTTGATCTGGGCACTGGAGGGAGAACAGACAGCTCCTCTGCTCTGACTCAGCAATTCAGTAGGAATTGAATGTATGTATCTCATGTCATCATTAGACCAGCCTTTAAAGGTGCTTATCACCACAAATGCTTTGGCACAAGGGGTCTGCCTGAGACATCTTCTTTCATTCTCTCTCTGTACCTCTGGACTACAATGTAGCCTCATATAGAAAACTGCCTACTTGGATCAGGACCCTACAAGCTTGGAAAAATCAGCTTTCACACTTCAACAAGCTTCCAGAGAAGTATTGATGCTTATATGCCATTTGCTGTTGCCTTACCCAGACAGCCCCGTGTTGAACACGACTTCCCCTGCTGTGGAGGATGGATAGCCAAAAGAATAGCCCTTCATCTTCATCCCATCTTCCAGCACCAAGTTTGCTGTCTGCACCTAGAGAAAGGCACATGAAGAGACTCAAACACAAGAGGAAAGGCTTGAAGTTTATACAGGTAGCACCTAGGATACCTGCCTTTCATGCCTAGCACTGTAAGTATTCCTGCCCTTCTCCCACTCCCAGCTGCCAAGACACTACCTCTTTTACCAGTCTGATGCCTTTTTTCTTTCTAACTCTTAAGAAACATTGCTATCCTAATGAGCTGCAAACCTCACTGCAAGCAGAGCATGTGCTGCTGTTACTGTGGGATCACCCTTCCCTATGCCTTAGTTCATTTTTTCCACGTATGACATCTTGCAATTTACCAACATCATAACCCTGCAGGGAAAGGATCACTTGCCTCCTCAGTGTTTGCTCAAGGCCTGCTGCTGACTCTGCTGGCTCTCATCCAGCTCTGACCTTTGATAGGTGCTTAACTTCTGGTGCAACCATATAGCAATGCCACTAAAAATAGGTGTGTGCTTAGTTGAACTGGTGTCACAGACAGCAAAATTCAAAATAACAGTCTCTTCTGCTGTAGGACACTAGACCAGAGGAACTCATGGATCAGATGGACACTCATGGTCTCAGTTACCTCAGGGATAAGCATAAATTGTCCCAGAAGAAGCAGCTATGAAAGAAGCTGCTCTGGAAGAGGTATGGTTTCCTAGAGGAAACCATAGTTCTTCCAGAGAGGGTTCAGCAGAACTGAGTCCCCACTAACTGAGGGATCCCTGACAGGTTTCATCACCATTTTACAGCCAAGGCAAGTGGGACAGAGTGAGTTTTACAGATGTCCTTAAGGGATTCATTATCACAACTGGGTCTTTGCACATATCAGACTAAATGTACCACCCTCTTTGGCCCCATTTGGAAAGTAAACCTTTCTTATCCTGTCCAGGTGCTGGATGGGAAACCACCAGAGAACTCCAACTTCTAATAAATAAATAAATAATGACTACATGCACAGCAGAAATGACAGAATGAGTTGGGAGAGTCCCTCAGACAGCAGGATCATTGGTGATATACAGAGCAAGAGAAAGAGTAAGCAAAGCTGTAAATAAATTTGCCAATGAATTCCTGGCTTAAAAGAATTTGGACAATGAACTTTCAGGACCCTGATAAACCTCCACTCCTGGAAGGCAAGCACAGCTGTTTCCTAGGCACAGGCTGAGTGACCTCCAATGCAAAAATCCCAGTGGTCTGTGCCACAAGAGATGTGCCAAGCATGTCCACAGGAAGCAGCTCTCACTGTGATTTAGCTTCATATTGGTTTCTTTTACAGAACTATTCCTCTTACTGGGATTTTTAAAAGAAAAATCAAGATCAATTCACTGCAGAAAAGAGCTGGAGAGCTGCTTTCCATTAGCTGTAAATCAGATGAACAATCACAGCAAGGAGAAATTTCATTTTTGGTATTGAACATTTTGTAACCATCATGCCAAACATTCATTTAGAGCCCCTCAGCAGTTACAAATACCACACAGATCAATTACTAATGTACTGCAAAATACACTAAAAATCAAAGTGCCTTGCCAAGTAATTGAATTCTGTGCATCTGGGATGCTTTTAGCCTTGCCATTTTTTCCTCATTAATGTCAAACACCCAGTCATTCTCCAAATATTTAGCCATAACTTTTGGAACCTTCCCACACCATTGGACAGTTTAGTCAGCAACACCAACATCTCCTCCCTCCCCAGTTATAAACAGAATTTTTGTGGCTAAATCCCCTAGGTTTAGACCAAATTAAAATGACAGGGTGGTGGGCTCCCTAATCTCCCTGTGCCCCTCACTGCAGAGAACTGCCAGACACTCAAAGCACAGCACAGAGGTGGTGTGGGTGCCTCCAGCTGGACTTTGGACAGGACCTCTGCCCTTTGGGAAGCCTGGTGAAAGCCCAACCTGCTCTGCCCACATGGAACACTGATTGCTGGATTCAGTTTCTCCCAGCCTTGGTGTTAAAGGCTGGATCCCTTTCCCTGCAGGCCACAGTTTGGAGTCCACACAAACAGCAGCTCCAAGTGTGTCCCATCACTGGGCACACCTTGGGGCAGTTGCCTGAATTGTGGTCCTGCCACCAACCCTGGCAGAATCCTTCAGGAAATAAAGTCCACAATGGTGGAATGACCAGAAAAAATTGAGATTTATCCAAGTGCTGAAGGCCAAACTCCAGAGCAATCACTGTGAGCTTCAGAGCCACACCCTCACTAAAGTACTTGGCAGGGATCTGCATGGCCTTCCTCCCACCACTGCCCACCTCCCTTCTAAACCAGACAGCACAGAAATCATTTCTGTTCAACAGAAGCCCTTATTACACTAGTAGAGCCCCTACACAGTGTTCAAGTAATGCAGAAAAATGTCCCTGAGCAACCATAACCTGCCTGCAAGTTCAGCTATAGCAGGGGATAGATGTTCAAGTGTTTCCCTCCCTTCCTTGATTTATTATTCTTAATTAAGTGGTTGGTTCATTGAGCATTCTCAAAGCAATTTTTCTTGCTTACAATTCCAGTGGAGGTGTTACCATATCCCTAAGCTGCCAGCCTACCTTGTTTTTTCAGTTTTGTTTTTAAGGTGAAAAGTGATTTACAGGCTACAGAGAAAGCCTGTTGGCTCAATCAGGGATCAGTTGGGAGACATAGTTACTTTTAAAAGAAGAACAAGGAAGAAATAAACAACCCCCCAGAGCTTCCATGAGGTCCTTTTGTCTTCACCCTTCTCAAAAGCATCCCCACATAGCCTCAGATAAATCTCTGTTGTAATCTCAACTGAATTGTTTCTACCACACCCCCTCAATGTAAGATGTGCCATTTGCAATCTGATTTCTTCTACCTACACATCAGCAGCTTCACCTTTAGCAGAGGGCCCTGTGCTCTAGGAAGGCTGCAGAACTCTTCAAGAGCTTTGAGGATGAAGATGGCTAACAGGAAGGGTCATGCTGATGTCACACTGATAGATTTTGTGTATTTTGTCAAAGCAGCTTGAAGAGTCAACTAGTTCAGGTCCCACATCACACATCAGGTAAAGAAAGCACTTTATAAGTTAAAAGAAAAACAAACCTAAACCCAGAAAGAAAGCAGATGAAATTAGTTCCAGTTAGTTCCCTGCTGGAGCAGCCCTTCCCATCTAAAAAGTGGATGATAAAGATCTGCAAAATCTCAGAAGATCTACAGCACAACTTCTCTGCCACATTTCTTGGCTCACATCTGGCTGGCTACAGAACAGCTGGCATATCAGAAGCATAGAAGAGCCCAAAAGCTCCAAGATTCCTTTTACAATAAAAAGCTGGTGCCAGGACTGATCTACATTTCAGTCTCCCAAGACCAAATAGCCAACAACAAAGGAGTGATTTTCTCTTTGATAGAAACTGATTCTTACTGTTCTTATGAGTACTATGCCATCACAGGCTGGAAATCTACCTGGCCATGGCTAACAGTCAAGACTTTCTTTGCCAACCCTGTGTATAACTATCTGTATCTATCTGATTTTGCTCTGGCACATTTGTTTCTGGCTAACACTGGGAGAAGAAGACAGGGCAAGAAAAAAGAATGAGTCAAGGTGAGTTAAGATGAGTCAAGGTGAGTGTCTGCTTAGGATGTTTTCAGGGGAGAAGCACTGGATTAATGCCTTTATCATTCAAGACAAAGCCAAAGAAAAGCCACACAGGTACCGTGGTAGAGAAGTCACAGTTCCTACAACTTGAACTCTTGTCAAGGCTGTTCACAACAATGCCACAAGTATTTGTCCATCACAAAACTCAAAGGAGAAGGGTGAACCAAGCCAGATGAGGTACCTAGCACAAGTCACTAAGGAGCATGGAAATGAGCACCCCTTTTTCTCCCCCACAGTAGCAGTTCACTAAGTTCCCCCCATCTATATAGGAATGGGCCCCATTTTCCATCCCCTTCATCTCCAAAACGAGGACTGGAGTACCTTGTGACTCATCTTTAGCTTCCTCACCCACCTCTCTCCTTGAAGTCATTGTCCCATTTCTTTCCACCTGCCTCAAATACATTTGAAGAGTCCTTTTGCAGTAATCTGAAATCGTTTCTAAAGCCAGCACTTTACAAAATTTTCCTCATCTCCATCTCATTTCTGACCACATTTTTAGCTCATTCCTGGTGGTTTTTACAGCTCTCCCAAACCTCTCCTTACACAGCCAGCTGTACTGTTACAAGCCACCTCTTTATTGCTCATACTACCTTCACATGACCATTTAACAACATTGGCCTCAGAAGAGCATTAAACAGTAAGAGCTTCAGCCAGCAGTCTCTCTGCCTATTCCTGAATTTTAAACAAGCTTGATTAACCTGAAACCAGTGATGCTAAACATCCCTACTGAGAGCCCTGAGGGGTCTCTGGTCTGCTCCCTACCCCTCTTTCACTCATGGATGCCCACCTCTTCTTTAGAATGGAAGAATGGGATATAATAGGGAAATATGGACCTGTGAGTCCCCACATCTAACACTACTCACCTACAATGGTGTTTCCCCACACAGGGTGAGTTTAAACTGGACAGAATACAGACTTGGGAGAAGCATTATTAGGCATTCTTCTAAAACTACCACCTCATGCTGTGTAATACTTAATTTATACACAGGTTAGATGTTCTCATTGTATTTTGTTATGTTTCCTAAAACACCCCAGCAAGAAAAAACAATTAAAGGCAACTAAATGCTCATTTAAGCCTGCAATAATGGAAGAATGAGACCATTACCTAATACTGCCATTAGTCCACACATAATCACGCATCATAGAATGTCCTGAGTTGGAAAGGATCCACAAGGCTCATCAAGTTCATCCAACTCCTGCCCTGCACAGGGAAACCCCAAGAATCCCACCATGTGCCTGAGAGTATTGTCCAAATGTTCCTTTAACTCCAGCATGCTTAGTTGCATTTCAATCTTTCCTTAAATTACTCAAAAATACCCATTACCTCTAGGGCTGGTTGGAACACCAAACCCAGCCACAGGTCACCGCTTGGTCACTTGCCTCTCAACTAGACTTAACTTCCACACTCTAATGCAAAGAAACTGGGAACTCACATGCTGAAGGAAGGTGTATAAGCAGGAACACTTCTTGCCTCATCCTGAATTCTTCTGCAGAGGAATTTTTGTTTTAAAAGTATCATAGAATGGTTTGGATTGGAAGGGACCTTAAAGATCACTGTGTTCCAATCCTTTGCCATGAGCAGAGACACATTCCACTGGAATGTTGCTCAGAGCCCTGTCTAACCTGGCCTTGATCACCTCCAGGGATGTGGCAGCCACACCTTCTCTGTGCAGCCTGTTTCCAGTGCCTCACCACCTTTGCAGTAAAGAATTGATTGCTAATATCTAATCTAAACATTTTCTGTCAGTTTGAATGCATTCCCACTTTGTTCTTCAAGTAACAGATCTGTTGCAAGGAGCTCAGAGAACTCCTGAAAAATGAGTGCTGTGGTACAGGTAAGAGAAACCACAGACCTCAGTGGACAGAACCAATACTGATCAGCCCTGCAGACCACCTGCCAGGTAAGGCAGCACCTGCAGTCCAAGTTTCTCTACGCTCTTCCCTACCACTCTCTGAAACACCACTCCCCCAGTTACTAATTCTATTGCACTGTTCATTCAACATACCACTTGTGCAAAAGTGCCTTTTCAATGCAAAGTGCATGCTGACAGAACTCACCCAGCACTTCAGTGCTACAGAACTCCCACAGAAAATCCCATTTCACCCATTCACTCCAGCTCCTGTAGCAAAGAGCACTAGAAAGCTGGGGAAATCAACTGAGCGGTCCAGCCCCTGTAAATCAAGAGTTGATACACTGATGCATTCACAAGAGTTGTCTACCACTCCAGTTAACCTCAGAGCCACTGTAGTTTCTAATACACTGAAAATGGATTCTGTATGGATTCAATAGGATTAATAACATGCCTCAAGTGATGCACAATTTTAAATATTCAGCCAATTCATTCTCATATGGACTGAAACATCTGCTCTGTTAACTATCAGTCCTGTAGAAGGGTGAGGTGTTTCTAAAGAAAACACCATATAATAATTAACTGAAACCTTGAACTTACACCTTTAGGTGTAACTTACCCTATAACTTCCATCCCAGACTAGACAAAAAGTGTGTTTGCTTAGCTAATATGACCATTTAGCCAAGCAACCCCCTTGCTTAGGGCTCAGACAAATTTCCTCTGGTTCATGTCTCTAGGTAAGCCCTGTTATCTGCAGCAAGTTATCTCTGCATGCCAAACACATCTATTAAACAACAGCAGTTCACTGTTACCTTGATGCTCAACAGTCTGGTACCTGTCCTTGAGAAACTCCAGTGATCAGCAGACACATTGCAAAACTTCAATCTGCCTTTCAAAATCTTCACCACTTTGCAAGCTGTCAAAATTCTTGTCATCTTGAAAGCCGCTGATGGGTAACTAAAGTTTAAAGCGCAGAAGAGAAAACAAAAATCTGCTTGTATGGATTTCTTCAAGATTTGGTGCTGACAATATACTCCTGTAGATCACAGGGGAAGAGCACAGAGGCACAGCAGGAGCACTGAAGTGACTGTACAGCACTGCCCTCCACCTCCCATTTATTCTGCCATTAAAAGTCCCAGGTGCAGCCCCACCTCCTCCCACCCCTCCTCAGAGGGTGCTTGCTTAGGCACCCTTGCAACACTTCTCCTCAGACTGGTCTCTGAGCACTGTCACAGGCGTTTTAACACCACCTGGAAGACAGCAAAGCCTGAAAGAGAAATCACCCCAAGAATACAAGAGCATGTAGTGGCAGGACAAGGGGGAGTGGGTTCAAACTGAAAGAGAGCAGGTTTGGATTAAATATTAGGAAGGAATTATTCCCTGTGTGGGTGGGGAGTCCCTGGCACAGATTGCCCAGAGAAGCTGTGGCTGCCCCATCCCTGGAAGTGTCCAAGGCCAGGTTGGAGCAACCTGGGATAGTGGAAGGTGCCCCTGCCCGTGGCAGGGGGTGGCACTGGATGATTTTCAACATCCCATTCCAACTCAAACCATTCCATGATTCTGAACAACACAGGGGCCAGGCTGTGCACAGTGTGGTTCTGAGAGCTCCCAACGCGGGGTCTGCGCGCTGGCTGTGGGACAGCCTGTGGCTGCTACAAGGATGTGAAGCAGGAAGACCAAATCCCATGGAAAGATGAAATCTTTATTCTGTGGTTGGAGAGCAGGCACTAGCACAGGTTCCAAAGTAGTGTCTGTCCTCAAATTAATGAAAAATAAATTTTTTCACAAAAAGAAAAAAAAAGGTTGCAAAAGAAGAACATCTTTTGCAAACAAACAAAAATAAACAAATGCAGGGGATGGAAAATGATTTTGTTAGCTCTTCCTCCATTTGCTTCTCTCTAGTCTGTAGTGATCCAGAAGCCAAAGCCATACTTGTAAGTGACTGGACTGCAAAAACCTATACTTTGAACAAGAAAGGTCATCTTAATATCCAAACACATGTGAGCTCTCACATGCAGAGCTTTCTTCCAAAGTCACATTTCACATTACGCTGGCTTTAAACTGTCATGAGTGTAATACACAGCACTTGGAAGGTTACTTGTTATGGCAGTACTGAACAGGCAATTCCACACTCCATTTTACTCTCTGCCAAAATCAGTGAGTGACTTTGGGCCCTGGGATACATGTTTGAACCAGAATCAAACCATGCTGACAGTTTCAGCACCCTAACTGCTAATTCCTGACTTCCTTCTTCCACCATGGCAGCTGCAGTGAGGCTGCACCATGAAGCTGATGGATCCACATAAAACCTCACCCCTTCCTTCTACCAGGAGACCATTCATGAACACAGGACATAAGGAATCAGAGAAAATGGACCATGCCTTTTGGCAGAGTGGCACCTTGCAGGTGCAAACAGCTGCATAACCACATACACCCTGTGTTCAGTGTTTCAGGGATCTGCTGTGCACATACACACCTAATGTGGCAGCTGTCTGTTAAGGATTAATTGCTATATGGGTGAACCACAGGCAAAAAAATAGTTTCCTTTATCACCTACAGAGCAAGGATTTTCCACTGACTACTGCTTTATATTTGACCCTGCTGTCTTCCCTATTTTATTATCAGAATTGATTAAGCCCACCTCAGACCTTCTGAGTTGAAGAAGGTTATACCTCCAGTATGAGAGTCTTAAAGCCCCCACCATGATGAAGGAATTTCCCTCTGCCCAAACCAGGAGAAAACATCCAAGCTATTTGTCTCACTGCCAACATGCTAAAAAGAAAGGTCACAAACTATTGACACCTTAAGGTCAGAAAATTTATAATGTATTCCAGCCCTGGAAAACCTATTAACACACAAACAAACCTTCCATGATTTGGATAGATTTTAAGTATGCTTTTTGCTGAACATAAAGACCAGAAAAGGCAGAATCACTAAGAGATGGAATCAATAAGTAAAAAGAAAAACCAACCACAGAATAGTGGAAAAAGAGCAGAGACCCATGGTTTTATGAAAATGCAACCACCACTCTGCCTAAGTTTAGAACTTGCCAGCCAGGACATGACTTCCAATTGTAGCACCCCCACAGAAAGTTTGGGCAGGGGCTCTGGAGGAAGAGTGGCAATCAGAGAAATCAGGAATAGCAGAAGATTCACTCAGACAAGAACAATTCAGGTACTGGGAGAGAAAGGTGGGAAATTGCAATTCTGGCTTACAGAAAGGCAGAATATGAAACCTTTTGCTTCATATTCAGTAACACTTGTACAGAGAGGGGGACTGGGAGAAGGAGAGCAAAATGCTCAGTAAAATTAGGAAGCTTTTGTTACTATTTACAAGTGGAAAACCCCAGAAACAAAATTCATTACACAGCCCCACTGGACTACAAAAATGAAACAAAATCAGTGGTCTATGGCTTTGCAAATCTCCAAGGACAAGACTTTCAAAGAATGGCAAGTACCTACATTTTCAGAGGTTTAAAACAAAGTGCTTGAGCTTAAGAAGAGAAGTGTTCAGAGGAGATGGGGCCCTGCTTAGATGCCCCAGAAGTGGTGCCCCAAAATGGGAGCACCTAAAGCCCTTTGTCACAGCTGGGAAGCTCTGCTTTAAGCAACCAAGCTAAGCAGGATTTTTCATTTTCAAGTTTTCTGTAAAAAGCACAAGATAGTCCTAGTCTTGCTTGAGAGACAAGAGATCAAGGCTAATTTGTGACCATGTTGGGCCAGATTCACATCAGTGCAAGTCCCAAGTAATTGCCTTCAGCTGAGTGGAGCTTCAAGTGGCATAAGTCTCTCCTGGATTGGGACAAATGTAACAAGCAGCCCACATGAATTGATTGGACTCTATTTCTTATGGGTGAAACCAGAGAAAAGCTTTTTTCCTTCCATATGTCCTTCAGATACTTTTGGAAATCTCTCCTGCCATATGTCAGACTGTGTCTAATAGCTGACCACCCTGTCTTGTCTCCACTAAATTACATTTGAAAAATATTGACTGAAAAAGCAGAATAGTTGAAAGTTCCAGCAAAATTGCAATGCTCTGCCACCACTGGGAAGACAAATATTCTTCTCCACCTCTACACCTCATACAAAACCCTTCAAGGTGATTTTGAAACCCTTTCTTCCATTTCAAGGCAAGCTCCACTTGCTTCCCAAGGAACTTATAATGAAGAGTTTTGAAAGCACCTGAAAAATATTGAGATTTCCCCTATATTTCCTAATCAGGTGTTAGTTTATCAAGAGACATCACTGCAGAACTAGGTAGCAATTTTTTATCAAACCCTATTACCTCAGAGACAATAACTTATTTTTTCTGCAGTATGTAGTGGGGGAATAAACAAAGTTCTCTTGTTCACATGCAAATGAACTAACAGCATCCAGACATCCTCCATCTCCCAGTCCTCCCTCCTGGATTGCTGCAGGAGAGAAAGCTGCTTTGATCCAGTCTCAGATCAAATGAAGCATTTCAAGAAAACCCTACAATGTTTGGAAAATGGCAAAGCAACACAAGCTGAGAATTTCAAAACTAAGACTGATCTTCACCTGTGTACGTAGCGAGAAACTGAAAGGAATAAGAACCAAGTACAAGTCTTATCCCTCAGCTCTCCTGAATTCTGTTATTTAAAGCCACAGCCAGAACATGGGTTTTTTTTTTCCATGGAATTTATTCTGTTTTAGAGTGATGCCTCAGGTTTTAGTTTTTCTATTTTTCAGATTCTGTGCTGCTTTAATGCGTGGGTCTGAGCTTCATATTAGGGGATGGTGAGCTCTCTTCAGAGTAGGGAGACAAAACAATTCCTTCTCTAGCTGGGGACCAAGGACAAATGATCCAAATCTCAGGCCCAAGAGCACAAACAATATGAACTGAAGAGAGAAAAACAAGGATGGGACTGTAATTGGACAATTAACTCCAATATGCAAATGGACCAGAACTTATAAAAGTGACAGACCCCGTGACCTGCTGTCCATTTTGTGACCATTTTGGTTCATCTTGGGTGCAGCCCTGGCTGGGCTCTTGTGCTGCCCAAGGTGGATCCATTGAGGCCTTTTAATAAATCCCTGCTTTATTCTTTAACTCTGTCTAGCTTCTGTTCTAGGTCAGCCTTGACAAGGCCTCAAGAGGAGGTCTGGAGAAAAGGGTATTTTAAATTTTAACAGGAGAGGTTCTTAGCAGACCTTCAGATTCAGGTGCTGCTTTTTGGTTCAGACTTACTAACTCACATGATTGTGCCAGGAATGATTCAATATAAACTCAGATGATTTTTTTTTTTTTTTTTTTAGATGGAAACAATTCCAAGTGACAAGGCAAAACCAGCAACTAAGAAGGGACTGCTCCTAGCTGCTCACTGTACTCTTGCTTGCAGCTTGTTTTCCATCCAGCTCAGTGCCTCCTGGAGATACAAAGTGTTAGTCCTCTTCAGTCCCAAGTCCTTTCTACCCCTGAGATCTGGCTTTTTTCTCTTAGTTTCCTTCCACAGTTTTTCTGCATGAGTATCAGTCTCCCAGCTCTTTGTGTGACCCCACTCCATGGGTCCTGAGAGCTGCTGTCCCTTGAGCACACTTCACAGGACAGAAGCCAAGAAACAGCAAGAATCCTACAAAACCTTAACTATTTCCTGCAGAAGGCAATAATCCATATGAAAACCAGTATGAAATCTCTTTTTAACAGCACAATTTAAACCTTATTCCTAGGCCCCAAACTTGCAGCCCTCATTTGTAGAAAACAAGTGTTTCCGGGTAAAGAAGAGCACACAAACCTGAGCCCTGAGCCAATATAAATTTATCAAAAACAGGACATGCAAACTTCATGTTGGTGAGGGCCTGAGAAACAAAATTCCAAAATTCAGGCTGTCCTCCTCGTGATCTTTGGCTAACAAAGGCTCTGACTAAAGAAAACATGGACACATTCATAGCTAGGGATGGAAAACACAGTGCCTATAACTCAGAACATCTTCCTAGTTCCTAAACAACTTTTTTGTTTGGGAGTCCAAACCAACAGAAAAGTATAAAGAAACATTTTCAATTGAGTGGCTCAAAATCTGATTTTATTAAGTATTGCAAGTAGTTATTTTCACTACTACAGAACATATTTTAAGAGAGATACTATTTTTCCTCTTCTAAATGAAAAAAATTCCTTCTGTTTGGCTTCTTTTTTAAACAAACCAAACTTTCCAAAACAAACCCAAAATGAAGTTTCAGTTAGCACAATAAGTGAAGAGTTTCATTTTGATATTTTAATTGAAATGTCAAAAAGCATCAGAATCAAACTGAGATGCCGTGTCATTTTCCTTCAAAAACATTAGTTCAGTCTAGCTGACAGCCAAGAGCAATTCAGCTCTGTGAGGTAAATAGTTTGCTCTGGAAACAGACCCTCATGCCCTATTCACAGTTTCATAAAATGAAAGAAACATGCCTCAAAACAACCAAAGTATCCAGGGATGGTAGCAAATCCCACAGGAATTCAGGATACAAAAGTGTTCACAGTCAACAGGCTCTGTGACAGTTTCAATTAACATCCTCTATGATAGTTTTAAAAGCTAATAAAGTATTTTCATTTTGTAAGGAAAATAATGTAACAACATCATTGAAAATCTCAATGCCATGTGAAAGAGCTTTCTGAAAAAAATAGCAAATTTCTTACTAATTCTGAATTGCCTAACTTGGCACATCCCTTCTCTTCCAAATTTTGTCTTTATGCAAAAATCAAGACAGCATTTTGATTAGTAAAGGAAGTTTATAACATGCTTGACAATAACTATTCCACATTAGAGAAAATCTATTTTCAAGGAGATTACACTTTTTATTAAGGCTTGAACAGCCCAGAGTACACTCCTCTGTCTGGGAAGAGAGCCTATGCTTCACCCAAACTTGACAAAGATAAGGCTCTTATCTTCAGCAAGAGAAAAAGAATCAACATCTTGAAAACGGGTCAGATTTCATTGCAGCTGAGATTAGCAGCTCCTCTTAGATCAGCTGACTTGGAAGAAACAGAGAAAACCCTTGCAGTGTCTGGAAATGACTGACATTACTCCAACAGGTCGATTTCAGAAAGTCCTTAGCCAGCAAAAGGCCAGAGCTGGCAGAAGAGCGCTGCTGGAGGGTGATAAGGATAACCCAAAGTGCAGTTTGCTCCCAGAGCCACAAGGAGCACCACGCCTCGGACACAACTCTTATTTCCGTTGTGATGCCACCAAGGGAGACTGCTGCCAGGAATCTCAGAGATACCAGAAGGTGCCTGCAGTGTTTGACTGCAGGCTGGAGCCAAACTCCATTTGCTGGAAGATGTTTGGAGGAAGCAATATTTCTCATTCCCTGACATTTTCTGAAAAGACATTTTTCCAAACAGGGGCCAGGATTGGCAGTCATCCTTTTTCCCCTGTGATTCTAGAGGCTCAGACATTTCACTGGCTTGTTACTGTGGATCATTTAAAAGGCCAAACTGGCTTTAGGAAAAGGCTTACACAAATCCAGTCTCCCCCATGCTACACATTCTTCACAGAGTCTAAGAATAACATGATTTTACAATGCAAGATTAGCTACATTTGCCCAAGATTCCTGTTACACTTGCTTCCTTCTGCAGAAGCCCTGTCATGGGTGAATATGTGATAGGTAATCATACCCCAGTGTGTTTGGTGTATGAAAGAAAAACAAAATTGACTTGCTGTTGATTATATTATAAATACATAGACTTTTATCTAAGATGAAAGCTAGAATATACAGTCCCCAAGCTGCTAATTTATGCATATAACTCTTTATGTGCATTTGCACAGGCACATACAGTGTTCATTGGACAGTTTTGTCTTTTTTCTTTGACTTGACTGTCATCCTTTCCCCAGTTAATAATTTCACTAAAATCAAAAATTCTATGACTGAATCATTTTCATGGATATTTTGACCTGGAACAGACCACTTGGTCCAGCCTTCTTGGTGGGCCTGTACAGGGGATTGTAGCCAGGCCCATCACACACAACCCTGTGATCTTGGGTCTATGACCAGGGCAACCCAGGAAGGAAATAAGGAAATGAGTAGAGAGAGAAAGCATCCATCAGAAGAGAAAAGCACCACAACAGAAATGCGTGTTATAGACATTTATATTGCCTAGAACAAGAGGTACTCACAGCATTCTGAAGTGTGATTCATAGGAGCTGCCACTGGTAGCACAGCTACCTGTTGCCTGGGCTACAACAAAACCCAGATAAAACTGGCTTCTTGCTCCCAGCACATTAGTGGATCAGGCCTAAAGCTGCCCTCAATTTAAGGAAAAAAAGCAGCTCCATTGAAATGCTGTAACACATGACCAGCCTCAATGATTAGCTTATGGGCTTGTACCTCAAGTATCTGGGTAAAGTCTCTTCTCCCAGTCTTATCTGAGCAATACTCTCTTAATAACATGCCCTAACATCTCTTACCACAACAGATGTCATACCCAGTGACAGGACAGGCTCACAGCTGCCTCTGGGGAGATTCACACTTGACATTAAGGAAGCCTTTCTTTACTCAGAGGGTGGTCAAACACTGGAACAGGCTTCCCAGAGGTGGTTGATCCCTCAAGCCTGTCAGTGTTTAAAAGGCACTTGGACAAGGCCCTTAATATCACACTATAACTTCTGGCCAGCCCTATAGTAGTCAGGCAGTTGGATCATCCTTGTAGGTCCCTTCCAAGTGAAATATGCTATATGAGAAGAAAAAGTTTTCTACAGAAAGCTTCTTCCCTAATTTCCTGAGAATTAAAAGTGAATTAATCATCCCTCCAGTACAAAAATATTTACCCTTTGGAAAGAATATACACAACGTATCTCTCCAGTCCAGTTTGTTACCCTTTAGCACCTATGCAGTGCTAGCTGTCCCCAGTTTTGGGAGGGAGAGTTAACATTTCATAGGAGTTACTTAATGTGGCCTTGGCCTCTCACCTTATATACAGCATCTGTGATCAATCAGCATTTTCCTTGTTGCTTCATGCCTGGTGCTCCAGGTTGGAAGGATTTGCAAAATATGTTTGTCTTAATCTTCTACTCACTCCTACTTTTTTTTTCTTCCTGTGGATACCCTAGGGAGAAAAGATAAAAAGCATTGACTGTTGCACACAGGGCTATGCACCAAAGCATTTTCTTTAACTTAGACATAGATACAAACATTAGGCAGATGTACACATGAGGATACAGATCCCTCTTCAAACAGCACAGCAAAGTCTTGCTATATGGATCTGTAATGTCATTTAAGAAGGGATATGATTTTGGGTGATTAAAAACATTTTTAGGACTAGAGAGCAATGAAATTTGAAGAAGTAATTGATGCTGTCAGGTAAGTGTGTTATGGACTTCAGGACTTCAACCTCAGAAGTCCAGTATGTCCTAGCCAGAGAGCACTGCTGTAATAGCAAGGGAGCTTTATGATCTAGTCAGTCATAAGACTATCATGCTCCATGGGGATAGCAGACATTAGATAAAGTTTCATACCCAGCAATACACAGAATTCCAGGGTGGGTCAGGCTGGAAGGGACCACACTGACTCATCTGGTCCAACCTCCCTGCTCCAGCACGGTCAACCCAGAGCACATGGCACAGGACTGTATCCAGATGGGTCTGGAATATCCCCAGTGAGGGAGACCCCATGCCTTTCTGGTCTCTGAAAAGTTCTTCCTCTCCTGTCCAGGTGGAACTTCCTGAACATCAGTCCCTGCCCATTCCCATGTGCCATTACTGGGTCCCACCTGAGCCTCGCTCTGAGCCCTCCCTGCACACAGGGATGAGAGCCCCTCTTGAGGTCGAACATCCTCAGTTCCCTCAGCCTTTCCTTGTCCAGGAGATGCTCCAGCCCCTTCTTCATCTCTGCAGCCTCCACTGCATCTGCTCCAGGAGTTTCCTGTCCCTCTTGTACGAAGAAGCTGCCAACTAGACACTCCAGATGTGCCTCACCAGAGCCAAGTAGAAGGGCAGGATCATCTCTCTCAATCTGCTGGCAATGGTCTTCCTAATGCATCCCAAGATTCCTGAGGCCTTCTTGGCTACAGGGGTACACTGCTGTCTCACAGACAGCTTGATGTTCACCACAACACTCAGGTCCTTCTCCACAGAGCTGCTTTCTAGCCTATAGATGTCACAGCACATGTCTCAGTTGAGACAGACACGATACACAGAGTATCCCCACACAATTTCAGAAAGCTTCCACTCATACACAGTAACACCTCACCACTTCAGAAGGCTGAAAGCATCGGCACTTCTTCTTCTTCAGCCCAACCTTTTGATGCATTGATGCATTTCACCTGTGTGCCCTCTGCTCCCTTTGGTGGTTGCTCAGTGCCCCTGGGCACTCCATGGCTCATTTCCTTCAATGTCATTCACCTGTCCTGCACAGCTGTAGCCCATTAAGGATGAGGCTGGGCCACAGCCTCACTCCCAACCACCCCAAACTGTGTGCCAATATGTAGAGGTGCATGGGGTTAATACATACTGCTGTTCTTTAACAAACACAGCATTTCCCTTAGCAAAATCCCTAGGAACAGTCTCCTCCCCACAATAACCAGCTGGCTTAAAGAGAATCTGTGCTTTTGAGCAAGGGCTCTCATTGCACATCTAAAAGAGGGCACAAAGCACTGGCTGACTTGTGAGAGGGAGCAGTGCTGAGGCTTTAGATGCTGTCCTTCCCCTGAAGATATTCTGCACTGTATTGTCCCTGTCACCCATTTCACTCTGACACCTAAAAATGTTCAGCAAGATTTAAAACAACCAACCCATGGCATCATAGAATCACTCTACATCCCAATGCAGCAGGTCCTAATTCTTTGTCCATTTGAAGAAGACAGGATCTCAAATACTGCACGGTTTTGTCTCTTTCAGCTTCAGAAAAGACAAAGCAGATGATCACTGAGGAAAACTAGGGAGCTCCACTTCACACTGAAAAGGCCAAGGGAACACAAGATGCTTTTTCTTCTTCCTCTAAGCATGCAGACCTCCACCTCAAAGAGCACAGGAACTGACCACAGAGCTGGAGACACCAAAAAGGCCTGTCTGGGTAATGCTCTGACAGCTGCACTCTGAACTTTCCGGATCGAGTTCCTTGCACTGCCAGAGTCAGGAGTACCAACATGGTACAGCAGTATCAGAAAAAAACCCAAAACATGCACATCTGTGGATTTGACTCAGCCCCACAACAGTCAAAGCTGGGGCCTGAATATATCAAATATATGTGGGGGGTTTTGAGCCTACTTTGACTAAGAGCCATAAACACAGAGTTTAGTTTTCAGATAGTTGACTTCATGAACAGATGTGGTTATAGTTATATGAGATTTTTAGTAAAATGAGAAATCAAATTGTAAAGCAATTTACAATTTGATTTACAATTTAAAAGAGTGGTCCAAAGGTAGCTGGTTCACCTTTCTGTACTGATTAAAATAATTTAGATACTCAGTTTTCCATCTTTATCCACTGCTTGCAAATAAACAAAAATCAATTCATTTATTTCTACTTCCTATGGATTCCGTCACACTACAATCCATTGTAACCAAAGCAACTATAAACTACCACATCCAGTCCAATGGGTGTGACAAAAAACCTGACAAAAATCCACAAGAGCTAAGTTCTGCTGGGAAGTTTTCATTTCCTTACTCTGATCACAGAGATCTCAGCAACAGTGTGTGCTTCGGAGACCACAGCAAAAATGAGGAGTTAATTTATATAGGTTACAAATGGTCAAGAGGAGCTTCAGTTTGTCATTTCTGACTTGAGGGAGGAAACATGGCTTGAAAAATACAGAATACTGGTACAGTGGAAAGCAAATATCAGCTGGTAAGAAGGGTTAGTGGAAATGTTGTAGGGACACAGACCCCAAGAATATTTTACCCAAGCATTGCCTCTTTCCTCTTCCAGCCAGAGTGTCAGCGAGTCACACACTCCTGCAATCACATTTAACATTACCATTTCCAGAGAGCTGAATTCCCTCTCTCCTTCCCTTCTGCCCCTAACAATCCCCTGCAGCTGTGGCACACTCAGGAGTGTGCTTTGAAGAGTTTAGATGCTCATTTTAGGCAGCTTGGGTCTGATTTCCAGCATCAACAGCAGAAGAAATTGGTCTCAAGCCATGACTTTGGAAAAGGCTTTGAAAAAGACTCAAACTTTTTATTCTGTTGATTTCTGTGAAGCTTAAAGCCTTTATCCATACAAATTTCTGGCTTTGCCCTAGCCCTTCTCTCCTGACCATTACCACATTACTTTACCCTGTCCAATGCAGGTTTTTTCATCAGACTCTGACCCTAATACATTCACCTGTGCAATCCAGCAGGTAGAACAGCAGTGTTGACACATTTTGAATGCTTCCAGTTTTCTGTTTACCACCATCCTCTCATTATCAGCTTCCTGCAACAGATGGACTGTAATTTTACAGGCACAAGAAGAGTCAGTAACTGGGTGGGAGAGGCAGGAAAGGCTGCTGCTTTAGTAGCAAGAACCCAGAGGGAAAAATAAAGGCAGAATGTTGTGGAAGATATGTTTAAGCATTAGCCTATGTTTAAGCATTAGCCCAGTATCAGCCATGAGCATAGCTTCAGCTGGGGCAATTCAGACTGACTTCTCTTGCCAGTTCTGCCTTTTTTCCAGGGAAATGGGTTCCAAGAGATGCAACTAAAGACATAAGTCTGTTTCAAGCTGTGATGTTCCTTTTGTTGGGACAGCACCCATTTTGATAGCATCAGCCACAGTCCTCTCCAGTAAAGGTCCCTAACAACATTCCTGTCCATACTGCCAGTCAGCTAACATATAGTCTTTCCAAATTTGCAAAGGATCATGTGGGGAACTGAGATTATATTTCATCTTTTCATTGCTTGTATCCCCAGGCAAAGTCACAATGCACCCCTTTTAGGTTTCTCCAAAGGGCAAATAAACAATAACTAAAAGTCATCCAGGCAAAATAACAAATGATAAACTCTTTATGTTTTGACAGTCGTCAGCTTTCGAGCTCACCACACTGGAAATGCTATTGTGTTCTGCATTCCCTTATCCCCCCTCCATGTACCTGTAACAGTGCATAGGGAAGGTAGGAAGCCATGAGACTGAGAATGTAATGAAGACACTGCCCCTTTGCTTTGAGCAACATTATGAGTTGGAAAAATATTTTCAATCCCTAATGGCTAAGCTTTAAAAAGCCCTTCTGAAACCAAAACCAGGGCAAAATACCTCAGATGCAAGAAGAGCAGGAAGCTCCCTGACACACAGCAAGCTCTGTTCCTGTGTTCCAGGCAGTGACCCATCAAGAGATGTCACTTCCCAGAGAAGAAAGAGTGGTGCTGTGTCCTGGCAGGGCCCCAGCATGGCTTGTGGCTGAGTGACAGGCAGCTGTGCTGGCCCTGTGCCAGGTGGGATGAGCCCTCCTTTCAAAAGCCTCTGCACAGCAGCTGGCTTTTTTAAGAGAAAAATTAATCCTGTGGGGATAGGGACACATCTGATGTATGAAATAATATTCTCAGGTGCATATCCAAGCCATGCAGTGTTTTAGTCAGGGCAGTTCTTTTGACAGGGTCAGCGAAGTCTGGTCTCAGCAGAGCTCTCTGAGGGTCATCTGGGAAAAGCCCTGCTGATCCATTTTCTTTTTGTGCTGTGCCTAAAGAGCATACAGCAGCACCAAACCCACACCACAGCTGAAAAAGAGGACCTTCACCACACCTGCCTGTTGAGATACCCAGGAGCTCCAAAGGGTCTTTACCACTACTTCAGCTTTCCTATGTTAATAACTATTAACTCTTCAGTCCCTGCTTAGTCATAAAACTGTCAACACAAAGCTGTGTCAGAAAGGACAGTCTGATTCATCCTCTGCATTCGAGGTAACTCCAAACCCAACTTCACTCCAAGAAGCAACCAACTGCCTCTGGGGCACTGCAGACACTCAAAGTTTTTGCAAAGAGCGATTCTGAACATTTGAACCATGGAAGAGTTCAGCATAAGTTTACAGCCCCTATTCCACAAGAGACAGGAGTCTGTAAGAAATTGGACTGATTACATGGCATCACACATTTATGGGGGCAGGATTTAAAGTAGTTTATTTAGATGTCACAGGGCA